CCCGCATGCAGATGTGGGGTTGCCCAGTCCTCCAGTTGCTGCCTTGCTGAACGTCCTCTCTGCCCCTCCTACCGATCTGAATGAATGTTTCTTCTTTTACTCCTTGGTTGTCGGACTTCCATACAGTTTGATTTTCTGGCAGTTCTGGTTATTTTTTGTTTTTAAATTTGTTGTTGTTCTTTTGGTTGTGCAAGGAGGCAAAGTGTATCTACCTATACCTCCATCTTAGCCAGAAGTTCATTCATTTATTCATCCAACTATTGAACAAATGTATTGAGCTCCTACTGTGTGCTGGGCTCCACATGTGGCTTAGATAGAAATCACCAGGGCCTGCTCTCTGCCCTCAGGGTGCACAGGGGAGAGAACTTGTGGATGCACATCATTAGAGTACAGATACACAACCCCTAAGGGACTGGCTACACTTGCTGTCTCTGCTTCTTCATGTAGAATGTATTTTTCAACCCCTCCAGACCTGACTTTGTCCACACCACTCCACTGAAGCCACTCTTGCCAGGTCCACCAATGACCACATAACTTGTCAAACCTAATGTTTACTTCTCTGTTCATTCTGTCTGCCTCTCAGTGTCCTGAACCTGCCTGCAGGCTCTGGGGCCAAACTCACTGATTTTCAGGACTCCTTCTCTAACCAGCTCAGCCTTGAACCTTCTCTTTTCTATCTATACTCTCTTTCCCTAGGTGATTTCATCTAGTCTTGTGGCTTTAAATACCATCTCTATGCTGATGACTCACAAATGTATATTTCCAGCCCATCCCTCTCCTGTGAGCTCCAGACTCCTCTATCCAAATTCCTGCTTCATGCCTCTGCACATCCAAAAACATCTCAGACTAAATAGACCCCAAATGGAGCTCTTGATTCTCTTACTCCAAACTTCATCTTTCCATCACAGCAAATGATTTCATGGTTCCTCTATATACTCCGCTCAACACAAAAGTCCAGGGTTAGGAGATCCCTCCTTGTCTCTCTCCTGACAAACTGATTACCAAGAGCTGCTGGCTCAATTTCCAACATAAATCTCAAATCCATTCACTTCTTCCCCCTCTCCAGTTCTGCTCCCCCTTGTTTAAACCAACCCCACGTCTCACCCAGCTTTTTGTAACAACCTGTGGGCTGATTGATCTGTGTTCACTCTTCCCCCAATGAGAACAAACCAGAAAATGCACATCCACTCTTTAAAATCCTCCAGTGGCTTCCCGTGGCTCCTGGCTGAATTCTGAACTTCTTACCCTGACCTGCAAGACTCACCCAGCTCTGTCCACATACTCTCCTTGGCTCTCTCCAGGCTCCCCCTTCCTTGACACACTCCAGCCTGGTATGCACCTCTGCCTAGGATGCTCTTGCCCCACAGTTGACCTGGCTAAATCCTCCTCGTTTTTCCAGTCTCAGCTGAGACAACACTTCCCCTGGGAAGTGCGCCTGAGATCCCACACCTTGTGACTGTCACCCATCTCTGCATCAATCTCACTGAATGGGACTTGCCTGTTATCTATCTCCACACAAGGCTATGAAGCCAGAGATCATTGATCTAGGTTGTAGTCTTACCACCACAATATATAGTAAGTATTTGATAAATATTTATTGACTTAATGGATGGATGAAAAGCCTTTCCACCTCTTGACAAATCAGGGCTCAGCACAGTCTATTTTTCCCTGTAACAAGGCTCTCTGGAGGGTGCTGCTGGGTCTGAGCTAAGCCCCTTAAGAAAACTGTAGTGGAGGATGCAGGACTCCAAGGCTCTTGCCCAGCTTACCCCTTCCCCTCACTGCAGGCCCAAGTCTGCTTTTGGCAAAACCCACCAGCTCCAGTCCTGGATGGCATCTCCCTTAGCCCTGTCTCCTTTCTTGTCCTGGAGAGCCCTAAAGGAAACCTAATGGTTGCCCTTACTTAAAAAATACATTCCTTTAATGTTTTTGAATAGGTAACATGCACATGGTTGAAAATTCAAAAGCTATAATATTATACACGTTGAAAAAGAATTCTCACTTATTCCTGCCTTACCCTGCCTCGCTGCCATGTTCTCAGAGGTCACCATAGTTACCACTTTCTTGTGCAGCCTTCCCAAAATAATTTATGCACAAATAAACTTCATATATAAATGCTTTCTTCCCCAACTCAAATGGAAGCATTCCATACGTGCTACTTTGTACCTTACTTTTTTCAGTTAACATGAGATTGTGAAGATGATTCAGTACAAGTACATGAAGTGCCTCTTTCTTTGCCATGGCTGCACACTATTTCAATGCCTTAAATTGTGTCATTACTGATTTAACTGGTAACTTGTGGACATTTAGGTTGTTTCCAATATTTTGCCGTTGCAAATAACCTTGAATTTCTATTATTTTGCTAATGGGCCAGCATATCTATAGGATAAAATCCTAGAAGTGGCATTTCTTGGTCAAATACTCTACATATTTGTCATCTTAGTATATCCACTGTCAGACGGGCCTTTGCACAAATGCTGTCCATTTACCCATAGACTCATCAACATTGTGTGTTACCAGATACTTTGAATTTTATCATTTGATACATTACAAAGATAATCTCAGCACAGTTTGACTTTGCGTTTCTGTCTTTTAAAAAATTGTATATTAAAAAATGCACATCACAATATATCTTAACCATTTTCAATCATACAGTTCACGTTGTTGTTGTGCAATGGCATTTCTCTTTTAAATCGCAACATTTAGTGATGCCAACTTAGTGCCAGGCCCAGCTTGAGGCAGCCTCTGCCCCCTGGTGGGGGTGGGGGACAGACAGGAATGTAAGCAGGCATGACAAACCAGTGGCACCAGAGCTGAGCCTGAGATAGCACTGGAAGCTGGGGGCAGAGGGGGAATGTTCCAGGAAGGTTCCTAGGATGAGGTGACTCAGGACGATCCCTGAAGGAAGAAGTTCCTCCAGACAGAGCAGCTTGTGTGAGTAAAGGTCCAGTGGCCTGAGAGAGCCAGGTGTGACCTAGGAACTGCAAGTAACATTCCTGAGAGCCAGCGTGAGGAGCCTGCTGATGAGATCAGATAAGTCAGGGTCTTGGACTGAGAGGCCTTGGAAGCCACTGTGAGGGCTTTGGGGGATGGTAGGTTTGAGGAAAAGGAGAGCAAAGATCAAAGGCTGGGGTTAGACTGGCAGGTGTCAGGGTTTAGGTGAGAAAGGGCAGACTGCTGAGGAAAGACTGCAGCGCTCTGGGGCATTCAGTGCGAAGCCCGGCGCTCCTCCATACCTGCGGAGACAAAACTGGAGGCGGGAGGGGGTGGGGTGAGGAGGGTAGGTTTCTCAGGGAAGTCTTCCCTGAGAAAGGGACACACGCCTTTGGGGGTGGATTGGGTCACGAGGAGAGACACCTGAACACCCAAAGGCAGGAGTGGGAAAGCCACAGCCTTGGACCTCTTTCTTCTCTCACTTACTGCGAGATCCCCTAGCTGAGCTTAGGGACCCTGAGATCCCAGGCCAGCAACCGCAGGCGGTCAGAACTCCGTGTCCTGCTCGATCCTGGGTCACTGCGCATCTCCAAGCCCCGCCCCTCAGGCCCCGCCTCTAAAGATGAGGGGCGTGGTGGGCGAGACGCCCTCCTCCTCCCTCAGCCGCAACTCTCTGTTGGGGAGGGGCGTGAGTTGCATAGGGGAAGAAGGGGGGAAAGCGGGAGGGGGGCGAGAGAGAGAGAGCCCGAGAGAGAACCGGCGTCGCCATGGCAACTAGGCTGGTGGACTGGTCCTGGAGACTCTGGAGGGAGGGAAGGAGAAAGCGAGGGAGTGGGCATCGTGGGCTCCGCGCGGGGCCAGGGACAGGAGCCAGGTTCTCCGGAGAGGAGTTAGGGAACACCGGGCAATTCTCACTGTTGGTTCCTGGTGACGCAGTGAGCTCGTGTGTTTGCGAGTGTGTGCATGCGAAGTTTTCCGAGGTGAGTGTGTCAGCGCGCGTCTGGGTTTGTGCATGTGTGTGAGAATGCGCACGTGGGCCCAGGCGTGTGGGAGGGAGTGCCCGTGCAAGATGCGGATGCTAGCCTGCGTGCTCGTGACTTGTGTGCGTGCACTCGTGTGCTTCCCTAAGTGTGTCCCGGCGGGCGCCGGCGGGAGAGTCCGTCCCCTCCCCAGCCCTGTCCGTTCCTCCCCGCCCCACGCCGCCGGCGCCGGCTGCCTCCGCATCTCCACCTCGCTCACCCCCTCCTCCCGCACTTTCTCCGGCTCTCCCTCCCTGCGCACAGCCGGACTCCACGCTCTTCTCGCTGGCCACCCTAGGAATCGCCACCGCCCAGCTTGCACCCGTCGTCCCCCAGTCCTTGGGCACCTGTTGGAAGCACTGAGACAGGTGCAAGGGGCTGGATCACCAGGGGCGAGGGTGAGGGCGTGTGCGTTAGCCTGCGTGTGCCTCGGGGGGGGGGGGGGGTTAGCTCGCTCGAGGCTGCAATTTCTGGCTCCTCTGGAGAGCCAATCTCAGAAGGAGGCATTTTAGGGGGGAATCTCAGCTTGGGCTGTAGCGGGTGAGGGACCAGGCAGGCAGGCACGCAGATCCTGGGACTGAATGGAGAGTGGGAAATGAATGTCTAGAGGGGTGGGTGACACCAGGACCAGACAAGCGCCTGCTGCAGAAGGATGATGGATAGAGCTTCAGGAAGACAGAGGAGACCTATGAGGCGGCTTCTGGGAGGATGCAGGGCCCAGAGTCAGACAGAAGCCCAGAATGAGGGGCAGGAGCTGGGAATATGACAAAGGGACAATCTGGAGGTAGGTGGGCAAGGCTGAGGTGGAGCCATGACCTATGTGGGTGAAGTGAGTTGGCAGCCCAGCCCTTGTGGAGCAAGGCTGGGGGCCTGGACGACCTACGCCTCCTGCCTGCCCATTAGCTGGCACTGGCTGACCTCTTCCTCCACACCTAGAAAGGGAGGTCAGAGACTGTGGTGGTTTTCAACTGGCCCTTAGCCAGCAGACTGTAGGTATAAAGAGTCTGTGGTGGGCTCACGCACTCGAACCTCCCTCCTCCCGGACAGGGGTGCTGCATGAGGGGCCGCAGGGGCGATCGCATGACCATCAACATCCAGGAGCACATGGCCATCAACGTGTGCCCTGGGCCCATCCGGCCCATCCGCCAAATCTCTGACTACTTCCCCCGCCGGGGACCAGGACCTGAAGGGGGTGGTGGGGGCTTTGGGGGGGGCCCTGCTCGGCTGGCCCCCCTGGCCCTAGCACCCCCTGCAGCCCTCCTTGGAGCCACCACGCCTGAGGATGGAGCTGAAGTGGACAGCTATGACTCGGACGATGCCAGTGAGTCCAGGGGCCTGAAGGGCCGAGGTGCTAATGGGGGCCTCCAGGCTTGCGGGAAGGGGATGGGGCCCTGCTGGCTGTGTGTTTGGGGGGGAGGCGACGGGGGGGCACTGCCACTACAGCTGCAGCCAGTATGGAGATGACAGCTTCAGCAAGGCTCAATATTCAATATTTCTGCTGAGACAACCACCCACACAGCCCCAGTTGCGGCTCAACCCGGAACCCAGACACACACACACAGGCTGACAGATCCAGACATACACCTTCACAGGCAGCACGTTCAGCTGGCCTGCCCACAGGCCTCTCACACACCTGTTTTTACACACTGACTAACGCTACCTCTTCTCTCTTCTCCAGCTGCCCTGGGCATGCTGGAGTTTGACCTTCTCTATGACCAGGCCTCCTGCACTTTGCACTGTAGTATCCTCAGGGCCAAGGTGGGTATTCCTTATCTCCCAAGTCCCAGCCCAGTTTGCCTCCCAGGGGGGAGGGGTGGGTTTCCATCATCCCTTCCTCTCTCCAGACTAGCCCCCTGTTCCCCTCCATATGTACCGTTCTTCTTGGCTCTCCACACCCCAAGGATCCATTCAACAAGACTGAAGGCTGAGAGTTCACAGTCCTCTTCTCTCCCCTCCTCTCCAGGGCCTCAAGCCCATGGACTTCAATGGCCTGGCGGACCCCTACGTCAAGCTGCACCTGCTGCCTGGAGCCTGCAAGGTAGTAGCTTCTCCCACCCCAGCCAGACCCGGCTTGTGGATCTGATCCTAACCTTTCCTTGCTTTTAGCCTCTGTGGGTCAAGGGGACATGTATTGAGTACTTTCATCCCCGCACCTCAGGCCAATAAGCTAAAAACTAAGACTCAGAGGAACACTCTGAATCCTGTGTGGAATGAGGACCTGACATACAGTGGAATCACAGATGATGACATCAGCCACAAGGTGCTCAGGTGAGGGACCCAGCCTCCCTGTTACCAAGGGTTCCAGCTCAGCACTAACTCTTGGACAGCTATCATTGGAACCTTCTTTGGTTGTTCTACCTCCCATTAAGCCCCTCTCAGAGGCTCAGATAGAGTCAGCGGGCCCCATCCCCTTTGGCAGCAGGCCAGAATGTTTCCCTGGCGTTCCTACACCCAAAATATCTCCTCCTGCTCCTCCGACAGAGGACTGCCCTCTTTTGACTGGTCAGGTTCATTATTCCTAATCTTTGCCTGTTCTCTCTTCTACCGGGCAAGTGCTCCCTGCTTCCTGCTTCTTTTCTGCCACCCTAAATTCCACTCGTCACTTGAGGTTCTGCTGCATCCAGAAAGGATTCCTTGGTCACCAAGAGCCCTTTTCAAAGCCTCTGACTAAGTCAGACCTATGCAGTGGAGCTCTGCCCATTCTGTTGTCTTTGTCATCCTGACATCTCTAAGGAGTGAAGTCTTAAGGGACAGGAAACTTGCTCAGTCATTCTGGGAGGTGGAGTTGTGGGGAGAGTAGTCCCTGGTAGGGAATGAAGGGCAGCAAAACCAAGGCCCCTGGGAGAACTTTTTCTTTGTTTTTGGGCAATAGGGAGCCATGGAGGAGTTTGCCTCAGGGTAGGGTATAGTCAGGGCTGTGTTTAGAAAGGTCACCTTGGTGTTGGGCGTGAGGTGGACTGGAGGGGAGGAGAAAGGCAGAAACCAGAAAGATTGGCCCCATATTTCAGATGCTAAAGAATGAGGATTCAATCACTTTCTGAATGCTCAGTAGTACCCAGCCCTGGGATTTGCATTTTTACATTTCTACATTTCACTTGATCCTTATAATAGCTTTAGGAGGTGGGTAATCATTATCTCCATTTTATAGATAGGAATTGAGGCTTCAGGAGGCTGACTTACCCAAGGTCACTCAGTTGCTAGTAAGTGGAAGAGCAGGGAATTGAACACCCCTAAACACAGCTACTCGAGTGTCACAGCAGAAGGAAGTGCAGGGGGCTGCAGAAGGGGGTGATAGAAGTAAAAGCAACCATTTCTTATATCTGGCCTCATGAGTTTCTCCTAGGCCAGCTCCCTGCTCCACGCAGAAAAGGATAGGAGCTCCAGAGGTGGTATGGGTACCTTGTCCGACTGCCCCAAGCTTCCTCAAGGCCCTTCTAGCTCTTACATCCTGAATCCATCTGTGACCCACATCCACCAGTGCACACCCTGTGCACATTCAGTGGGATCCTGCGCACAGGCCCTGAAAGGAGGCAGGATGTGGAGGGTCCCCAAGATTTGTGAGGGCTTCCTGAAGTAGCTGAGCAGATCCTGATGGACCGGGGACAGGCGGGACAGCTGTAAAGTGAGGGGCAGAAAAACAGGGCAAATCAAAGCATCCTTCTCAGATGCTAGGCCTGGTGCTCACCACATAGCCTGTGAGACAGCCCATTTTACAGGTGAGGTGTAGAGTATTTAAGGCAGAGCAAGACCAGCCTCAGGTGCTCAGGGTTCCATCAGAGGTCCTTTCTCACTAAAGCGGGGCTCAGGTACCCCGGGGGCTCTGACCTTGCAGTTCCCCACCAGGATCTCCGTGTGTGATGAGGACAAGCTGAGCCACAATGAGTTCATCGGTGAGATCCGCGTGCCGCTCCGCCGCCTCAAGCCCTCACAGAAGAAGCATTTTAATATCTGCCTTGAGCGCCAGGTCCCGGTCTGTGTGGGGCTGTAGGGCGCCAAGGGGAGGGGGCCCTGGGGAGGCCAGGTTCCCAGAATCTTTTCTTTGCCCTCTCAGCTGGCTTCACCCTCTTCCATGTCGGCAGCGCTGAGGGGCATCTCCTGTTACCTGAAGGAGGTAAGGCACCTCACAGGGACCAGTCTGGGGGGGAGGTGGCAAAGATGCAGGCTGACCTCTGTGTCTGCCCTGAAGCTGGAGCAGGTGGAACAGGGGCCTGGGCTGCTGGAAGAGCGAGGGCGCATCCTGCTGAGCCTCAGCTATAGCTCACCTCGCCGGGGGCTGCTGGTGGGCATCGTACGCTGTGCCCACTTGGCTGCCATGGATGTCAACGGCTACTCTGACCCCTATGTCAAGACGTGAGCCCTCCCCATGTCCTGAGGCCCACCCTCCCATCCCCAGGGAGCCTGACCCCTGCCTCATCCTCCTCGGGGGGCCTGGCCCATCCCTGACCACCCCGCTCCTCCACCCGTGCCCCACCTCCTTGGCAGGTACCTGAGGCCGGATGTGGATAAGAAATCCAAGCATAAAACAGGTGTGAAGAAGAAGACTCTCAACCCAGAATTTAATGAGGTAAATACGGCAGGGACCAGAAATCATGTTGTGGGGGAAGGTGATGGGGCCGGGCAGCGCCTCATGGAAGGTGTGGTCTGCCCTATCCCAGGAGTTTTTCTATGAGATAGAGCTCTCAGCTCTGGCCACCAAGACTCTGGAAGTCACAGTCTGGGACTATGACATTGGCAAATCCAACGACTTCATTGGTGAGGAAGGAGTCCTCCGGGTGGTGGTGATGGAAGGCAGATTGGCATGAGACAGGGCCCTGATTTTGCCTCTACTGCTCCCCAGGTGGTGTGTCCCTGGGGCCAGGCGCCCGGGGAGAGGCCCGGAAGCACTGGAGTGACTGTCTGCAGCAGCCAGACACAGCCCTGGAGCGCTGGCACACCTTGACTAGCGAACTGCCCCCTGCAGCTGGGGCTCTGCCCTCAGCCTGAGCGGTGGAGCAGCTGCCCAGCACCGACCCCTTGGGGCTGGGTCCAGTACTTAACTTTCGCACGAGTGTGTTGCACGTTTACAACGGGGTGGATGCCCTACCCCACACTACCTGTCTTATTTTGTGAGAGTCTCTGTGACAGTGGGTCTGTCTTCTTGTGAGGGACTGTGAAGATCTATATTCACATATGCAAACTTCCTCCTGCCTGACTTGCTACTACATGCAAATATGCAAACCACCCAACCTGTGCACACCTGCAGGTGGAGTCCTGCCAGGACTCCCTGCCCCACGGTCCCGGCTGCTGCTCCTCTCTCCTGCCTCTCCATGCTGCCCCGTGCCCCTCCACCCACAGGGAGGAGGTCGGATTAGGGGGGGTTTGAAGGAGGACAAAGTTTTGAAAAAAGAAAAAGACAAAAACCAAAAAAGAGCCACTCCTTTAATATAGAACCTTCTTTAAAAACAAAACAAAACACCTAGCCCTGTATAGCTGCCCTTTTAAATAGGGGGTGGGGTGCGGGGGAACCACAGGGCCTCTGCCTCTCCCAGAGGGGGCAGATGTTCCCAGCCACTCATTTAAAATAACCATCCCCAGGATGGGGCCAGGATGTGAGGGCAGACCCCTGTCCTCCCAGGAGGAGCCCACTTTCCAGGGGGCATTTGTGCATGTTTACGCCTGTTTTGATTGTGTCAGCGGCCGCAGCATGGCAACTGGGCGTCAATAAATGTTTCTGTGGAAGCTAGGGGCTCATGTGTGCTGGCACAGGGGGCGCTGAACAGGGGCTTGGGGGGAAGGGGTCACTCCGGGATGTCGATTACCAGGTCATCATCCCCGTCCAGGGCGTCATCCCCGCTGCCAGCATCGCTGAACATCTGCCGAGGGACTGCGCTCAGGATTGTGGGAGGGGGCATCTTAGGGGGTGGCAGTGGGGCTAGGGCTGCCCCCACCCCAGCCCCAGAACCCCGGCTGGGGAAAGTCAGCGGCCCTCCCACAGGGCAGTCGGGGGGTCCCACCGTCATCTGCAGCAAGGAGGGAAAAAACACAGGGAGGGGCTATCAGGGAGGAATGGGATCTCCAGGAGGCTGGCACTGCCACTTAAGGCAACTGTGGGGGATGGCGAAGGGGCAAAGGCTCATTCAGAGGGTCCTGAACACAGCTAGGCCAGCTATGCTGGAATCCGGGGGCCTGCCCACCTTAGCCCCTTTGTCTCAAACCAGCAAGTGCCTGGGGGTAAGGGGTAGCGATGGAGGTGGTGATGAGGGTGGTGGTGGGGCTTCCAGGAAATCAGGAGGGAAAGGCTAGGCCCTGCCCTCCCCAGGGTGGCTCCTTGGCAGCCCCTGTGAGGGCAGTCAGAGCCAGGGTCAGAACAAGCCTGGAGCGCCTGCCTGCCTGCCTGCCTCTGGGCACCTCCGGTACCACTTGCCATCACTGGCCTCCTCTCCTTCCTCCTACTGAGAGACTTACTGGTTTGGTGGAAGGCAGCCTAAGGTCTTTATTCCCTGCTGCTACGTAAGGCTTCCTATGTCTGGGACGGGCCCTTCCTTGGGATCCCCACAGTCACTGGACCAGGCCAGGCTGTCCTCTGAGCTCACCTGGACTACGGTACCGGCCGCCCAACTGGATTCCCTGCCTTCAGCCTGTCCCAGATCCAGCTCCTCCTTCACACTGCAGCCAGAGTGAGCTCTCTAAAACACAAATCTGAGCCTGTCATTCCTCCACTTGAGGGCCTCGGGCTCCTTACTGCCCCTGGGACAGGCAGTGCTGTGTGCCTGACAACAGGCCAGTCCCTCCACTTGGAATGTTCTTTTCTATTTGTCAAAAGTCCTGCTTTTTCCTTTGTGGCTGGGAAGTGGCCTCTGTCCTGCCCAATCCTCCAGCCCCACCCCTGCCAGGTCCTTACAATCCTCCCCACAGAGAGGTCTGTGGGCTTCATGCTTTGCCTGCGACACAAACTGAGCATCTACTAATGGTGATTTCCATTAATGATCTCTGATCATTCTGACCACTCTGGGAGAAAAGATCATGGGCCACAGGAGAAAACTGACACTGCCAGGTCCCCACTGGGCAGTGTCCAACCTGGCCCTGGGCTGGGGCTGGCAGGAATGCTTAGGCGTGGCCTTCTCAGTGGCCCTTGTGATTGCTTCAACCCATTCGGCCCTCATGGCCCACTCTCTGCTTCTCAAGGAATCCCACCCTTACTGCTTTCCTGGGGTGGCATGGGGGGCCAGAGTGGGTTTTCAGTTAGGGTCAGCACCTCAGGGTACAGGTGTCTGCCAGGACTGATGACACAGAAGACTCAGCTCTGAACAGCACCCTTGCACCCACTATCAGGCACCCATGTGCCCATACAGGAGCAGACACACATACACAGCTGAAAAAAAAACAGTGACATGAGGACTGTCCCCCTCCTCTGGCTACTACTCTTGATCGCTACTCTAGTTCCCATGTCCTAATATGCTTGGGCTTACTCAACGGCCTCCTCAGGTGAGCAATATAGGAGCTAATGTTTATCTATGGCTTGCTATGGAGCAGGCACTGGGCTAAATTTTCTCTCCCTTAACTCATTTTATGATGACAATGACCCCATGGCCCCATGAAAAGAGAGCTTAAGTTAAATAACATACCCAAGTCACACAAAGGAGCTGGGATTCAAACCCAGCCAAGTCTGACCAAGGCCCAGGCTCTTAACTGTCCTGCTTCAGTCTCACAGCTTTCCCTCCTCTCCTCAGACTGCTCCTACCAGCCTCCTCACTCCACGTCACCCAGAAACTTCAATGACCCGCACTCCCTTTACAGACCCTCCAGATTCTGGGCATCAAAGCTTTCTCTGATCCCACCCTAGCTTATCTTTCCTATGTTGTTCTCTCTTATCACTCCTGCTCCAGCCCAAACAGCACTTTGTCATGTCCTTTGTCTTCCTTCCACCACTGCCTCAGCCTGCAATATCAAAATCTCACTTACCCTGTGCTCAAATGCTACCTCTTCTTTGAGGCCTTTCCCAATTTATGCCCTTCCCCAAGCACAGCAGCTGATTTGGGACTCTCTCCCAACCAACATTTTCTGTCCTGCATGCCCAGAACTTAGCTCCCCAACACTCCTCTACTTGAGGGCCCAACACTTCAGAAAACCTCAAGCCGCCATGCCCACGCCCATACCACACCTCTACCCAGCAGCTCCCGGCTTTGCTGGCCCGTGCCATCTCCACCAACCTGCCCTAAAGGCCAGAAACAAAAACCCTGCCTGCTAAGTAGAGCGAAGGGCCAGTATACCACCAATTCCTACCCATTTTTCAGCCTTAGGGGCCAAGGTCACACAGGGAGTAGGTGGGAGAGCTGGGATACAAACTCTAGAACCCATACACAGCACTATCATAGACATGGCATCCCATTTCACTTCTGGCTCCAGCACCTTAAGTCAGCAGTTCACCCAATTTGAGAGCTGTCCATCTTGGTACCTATTCCACTTTGATTCAGAGCTGGAAGGGCACTGCGCCTTCTGTGTCCTCCTGTTTTCTGGTGCTAAGTGTGCAGACCTCTTCTCTTCTCCATCCATGCTCTCACCTGCTGATCGTATCCACCTCCATGCTGATGACTGTCAAGTATGTACTCCACGGGGCCCAGGCTCATGTCATCCAGTTGTCTCGTTGGCATTTCCTGACAGCATCTCAGCATGTCCAAAATCAAACTCCTCATCTTCTCTCCCAAATCTGTTCCTCCCAGTCCTTACTTCTTCAGTTGCTCAGGCTAGAAACCCTGGTGTCATCTTGACTTCTTTCTCATAGCCCACATTAGTCTTCCTGTGGCTCATTTCTAAACAGACCTGTGATCCACTGTTCACCCTCTCTACCGCTGTCCGATTTACTGCAGTAGCCTCCTCACCGGTCTTCCAGTTTCTATCCTGACCCAATTCCCTTCCTCTCCCCAGTCTCTTCTCCACAGGACAGCCAGCACTTCTGTTAATGTAAATTAGATCAGATTCTCCCTCTGCCCAATCTCTCCAAAGGCTCCCTATTCATTCATAGTGCAAGCCAAAGTCTTTACACACTTATAAGGCCCTACACAATCTTGCCCCTCAGTTACTTCCCTGAGACCTGCTTTCTGACGATTCTCCCCCTCTGACTTTCATCCAACCACACTGGACTCCTTCCTGGTCCTTGAACAAGCCCAATATGCCGCCCTCCCAAACCCCCTGATCCTGCACTGGGCCTTTGCACTGGTCATTCTTCCTGGCTGAGAGACTTTTCCAGAGAGCCATTTGGCTTGTTCTCATTTTGTTTAAATCTCTGACCAAGTAACATCCCAGGCAATCCAACCATAAGTATCAGCTCCCATCTATTCTGGGTGCTTCCCATCCACTTTACCTACATCATTTTTCTGCATTAATATCTATTTATCTTGCTATTTTCTGCCTATCTTGCTAAAACACCAGCTCTGCGAAGGCAGAGATTTATCTGCTTTGTTCACTACTTCATCTGCAGCACCCAGAACAGTGCCTGGTACATAGAAGACACTCCATAAACACTGCTGATGACATGTAGTTTGATCGCTCACTTTATAGACACAGAATCTGAGACCTAGAGGGTGAAAGAGCCCTGCTCAAGGTCCCATAGTTGTAATTGGTACAGCCTTGACCTGATTCTAGATCCCATAATCCACCCCTCCTTCTGGGGATGCCTGGCATCACAGGACACCTGGGAAAATGAGCCTGGCCCCCAGTCACACTGGAGCAAGGTAAGGGTAGGACCCTAAGCATCTTTACTGAGTCCCCCAAGGCTGGTTCTGCCCCTGGCTTACGTCCACATTAAGCCTGTGAGCCAGGACTTCTCTAACCCACCCCTCAGTACCTAGCCCTGGGCTGGGCCCCCAGTAGCCCCAAATCAATCCTTCACAATTCTTGGACAGGCACCCAGCCCGTCTTGAGCCTCCCTCAAAGGGCTATCCTTCTGCCATCCTGACCCCTCCCTAACATCCCAATATGAGGGTACCTTGAGTTTCCGGGGCAGGCGGGGCCGTTTCTCCCGCTTGGGCCTCAGGGGGCTGGGCTCGGGCAGCTGCAGGGCCAGGTAGTCAGAAGGGAATGGGGGGTAGGGGGGGGAAGCCAGCTGCAGGTGGGAGTGGGGGGATGGAGATGGGAAATGGAATGGATGGGTGGGGAGTGAAGGGAAAAAAATGCAAATAGGAAGAAGAATGGAAAAACAAGAGATGGTGATGAGTGTGGCTTCTGAGAACAGAAGGGGATGGGACAGCAGCCGGACTTTGTCCTGGGGTCTGCTCTCCTCAGTCATATCTGTCCCCCATTCCTACACCAGAGGGAACTGGGCAGCCCGGACTCACACCCCTCTAAGGGATGCTTGCTGGCCACACCCAGACTGATGCCCCCAGAGCTGGGCCGGCTTCTCCCTGAGGCCTGGCCCCTCTGCCCAAATGATGCCCACCTTCGTCCCAGGCATCATAGTTACCATTTCCAATCCTTAACCCCAACTCACCGAGCTCAGGTATGGGGAGGGGGCCCCGGAGGTCTGAAGGGGAAACCCTGTTGAAGGAGGCAGAGAGAGGCTTGAGGGAGAGGGGGCACCCCCCATCGGAGGGCTTCTCTTCCTGGAGAAAGGACAGGAGAGGGGGTCAGAGGCAGCTGGGAGGCCCAGGAGCCCCTCCAACCCCATCCCCAGAGAAGAATGATGGCTTCTTCTCACCTCTTGGGGGCTGGCGTGTCTGACAACTTGGGTGTCCCCTCTGTCTCGCTGTTATCTGAAGATGCAGTGGCATCTGAGTCTGGGGGGGGGGGAGGGCAGGTCAGTGGAGGAGGTTCCTGTATACTTCACAAGAGTATAATTTCAACCCTATGGAAGGGCTTCAGGGAGTCTGATTCTCCAGTCAGCGTGCAGAGCTGTTCTGGGGAGCCAACAAATTCCCCAGCTCCTTAAATATGTCCTTTACAACTGACTTTCACAAACACTTCCTGTCCAAGCTCCTCCATGATAACACATTTGTTAAGCACTTACTTGTGCCAGACTCTTACCAGGCACTTTACCTTCATTGCCCCTCCTTGTCTTCATAGTCATCCAGGAAGGAAGGTGAACACCTCACCTCCACTTTCCAGATGAGGTCACTGAGGCTGAGAGTAAGGTGTAGGACTGGACTTGAACCCAGGTCTCTGACTCCTTGACCATTTCATGTTACTACTCCTTATTTGCCCCTAAGCTCCCTTCAGCTTCTGCCTCTGCTCGACTCTCTATATGGAGGGTCCTGTTAATCTACCTCTCAAATATCTCCTACCTTTATCCACTGCCCCCTGTTCCAACTGCCACAAGGTCAAGCCACCTCCTTCTGGTGTCAAAATCACCTAAGCAATCTCAGCACTCCTGTAGCACACTGTCCGCTCCAACTCCAGAATGACCTAAAACAAACCTCATCACATCTGAAGTGCTTTTTAACATGGCCTCGACCTCCCTTTCCGACTTTCCAACCACACTGTACACTTCACATCATGCCAATCAATTTCTTAAAAAAAAAAAAAAAAAATTTGGCCTTGGCTTGCGTGGCTCAGTGGATTGAACGCCGGCCTGTGAACCAAAGGGTCGCAGGTTGGATTCCCAGTGTAGGGCACACGCCAGGGTTGCGGGTCAGGTCTCCAGCAGGGGGCGCACAGAATGCAACCACACATTGATGTTTCCCTCTCTTCCACTCTCTAAAGATAAATAAAATATTAAAAAAGAAATTTATTTCCCAGTTCTGTGCCTCCACTTAGAAGGTCCATCATTCATTTGATAAATAACTGCTAGATTTGATATATGCCTTTCTCAATTTCCTGGCTCTGATATGTCCTTCAACAAGCAAATTAATATACTTGTCTAATCATTACTGTACACCTGATACTAATATAATGTTGTATGTCAATTGTAACTGAAAAAGAAAAAAATGGAAGAAAAGCACAATTGAATGCCACCTCCGTAAGAAGTCTCCCAGAATCCAGTTAATTGCTGGCTCTTTCAGAACTCTGTTCTCACTTGCCATATTTTCCTCACACTGTGCTAAAATGTTTCATGTGTGGGTATTTCCTGTACCAGACTGTGGGCTTCTCTGGGATAAGTGGTGGCTTACAATGTGTAGCTCTTACTCCTCATATTTATTACACTGACCCTGAACATGCTAGTTCTCTCATGCATCCTCTCCTGAAATCTCCCTAGAGCAGAAAGTTAATTGGAATACCTCAGGGAAGGAAGAAGCTGGCAATGAGAAGCCAGAATAACAGCCAAACATTTGCTATGACCTAAATGGGCTAGCTTCTACCTGCTTCTCTGACCTCATTTATCATCTACTAGCCTCCTATAATATGTAAGCAAATGGTGTTGTGTGTTTCAATAGAACATAATTTACAAAAGCACGTAGCTTGGCCAGATGTTGTTTCCTCACCCTGCTCTGGATGAACGTTTCAGGGTACCACAGAGAGAGGTGATTTTATGTGAGATGGCTTTTGAGGGTCCCACCCTGGAACAGGGGCACAAATGTCAACTATAGGGGTTTTTCAGGCTGCGTTTCTCAACTCATTAGGAGGTCATAAAATCAGTTTATTGGTTTGCAACCAACACTCAATTAAAAAAAGAAAAAGCAGTCTAAAAAGTATCAGAAAAATTTGTGTACAGTGATCTTAACATTGTTTCATTAATTTTTGTTTTATAAGTATGCACTTAGGGACTTGGTTGTGATGTAAACTATATTATTGATTGTAAATATGGTCTCAAAAAAAGTTTGAAAGCACTGCTTTATGTACTTTAGCCCTTCTGCTCTTCAGACAACCTGGTCTTCCGTTACCTCAGAGTACTTGCATTTTATTATATCTTTTAATATTGGTTTCTTCTTCTTATCTAGGTCCCAACTCAAACACTACTTTCTATAAAAGAGCTTTCTTGAGCACTCTATTGAGACATTGCCTGCCACCTGCTTTTATATGGTCTGCAAACCAAGAAAAGCTTTTATATTTCCAAATGGTTGGGGGGGGGCAAAATAAAATATTTTATGTTGCAAAAATTCTATTATATTCATATTTCAGTGTTCATAAATAAAGTTTTACTGAAACACAGCCATGCTCATTTATTTACATTATCACCTTTGGCTGCTTTTGTACTACAACAGCAGAACTGAGCAGTTGTGACAGACTGTATGGTCTGCAAAGCCTAAAATATTTGTCATCTGGCCCTTTACAGAAAAAGTTTATCAATCCCTGCTCTACCGCAATCACTACCACATAACCCTGACTTTAGTCCTTTCAAATCTGAAATCCTAATTTCTTGCTTACTTGTTATCCCCAATTAGAATACAAATTCCAAAAGACTTTGTCCATCTTGGTCACCACAGTTCTCTCCTGTGCAAAGTACAGTGACTAAAACACAGTAGATGTTCAATAAATACTTGACTGAAAGAATGGTAGAGGTGAAGGGCAAGCAACTAGGCTTAAGAACCACTGGAAACTGTTATCAGTCTCCACAGCCTCAAAGGAGGGGCCCACGAAGCTTGCCGAAGTGACAGGAACCATGTCCTCCACCAATTTTTCATGACCTTGCTCACCAGAAGAGTCTTCATCTACGTTCTCGTACTGCAGAAGTCGGTCTAGGAGGAAACTGAGGAAAGAGGCAGAGAGAACTTGAGTGTTTATTCCAACCTCAACAATGTTCTCCTGGGCCCTTCTCCCTTCTAGCTGGCCCGCTGGATCCTAGCAACCGCCCCAGGCCAGACCTGTATTTTGTGATCCCATTCCCGGATGGGGTCCGAAAGTTGAGCAACAAGAGCCTCATTACCCGCAGGCCTCCCTTCTCACCCTCTCCCCTCTACCAGCGTCTCACCTCTTGTCCCGCGACACCTTCAGCAATTTCCTCTGTGCCTTCCTCAGTTCCTCCTGAAAGCACTCGTGTTCCTGTATCACAGTCAAGATGCGCGCTGAGCGGGCGGTGGTCCGTAAAGGGGCCCGGAACCCGGCTTCGGCTCACCCCTACCTCCCCACCCCATCACTCACGTAGATGAGGAACTTGAGCTTCCGCTTCAGGTTCCGGTATTTCTTCTTGTAGTCCACCTCGCCGTCCGCCGGCCCATTCATGATCGGCCCCGGGAGCAGCGTCTCAGCACTGGAGTCCCGCTACCCCGGCACGGTTTAGCCCGGTCTCTCACGCCTTCACTTCCGGAGACTGTGTCCTCTGGAACTACAACTCCCGGCGTACCGCGCACCCAGGGACCGTAACCACACTGGCTGCCCCCTCCCAGGGAATACCGGAAAAGAAACCTTGTTTAGAGGTGCTACGCTAAAGATGGTGTCGCTGCAACGCAATGATGTCACAAAGATGGTGGACGCCGGAGGGCGCCCTCACTGATTCTAAATGTGCTCAGGGATTGGAAGCCACAAGACTTGTCCCCATGGGATTCCTAGTTTTCAGGAGACATCTCTCCTTTTTCTTTTGTCTTTCGAAGTCGCAGCGGCCTAGCTGACCCGGGACCACGGATGGAGGCAGAGTCGCGGATTGATTACGTTACACCCACAGGTTGATACGCCGAATCAGTTTCTAACGAGAATTAAGAAAAAACCAAAAACGATTGGTTCTAAGAAAAGGAAGGAGCCACGAGACCCTCCAACTGCCCGGAAAAGCAAGTTGTGTCTGGCAAAGTCCTTGATCCAAGCGGCCCTTGACGGAAACCCAACGGTCCTTTCCCTCACGGCGCCACGACACTACGCGTGCGCAAGCATCTGTCAGACGCGCCGACGGAGGCCGAGAAGAAAAACGCGGGAGCCACCAATCCCGGTTGGAGCAAAATGGCGCGAGAGAACGAGATGCAGGAGTTCACTCGTATCTTCTTTGGAGGCCGCCCGGACCTTAGGTGCACTGGGGATTGGGGTTGGGGTTGGAAAGGGCAGGGGCGGAACGAGGACTCCGCCTTGACACATGTCTCCGCAGCACGCTCACGCACTCCATCGTGAGGCAGAGGTTCTTAGTTCACACCGGCCGCGACCGCCTGGATCCCGAGGAGAAGCAGGCACTGAAGCGGCTAGTGGAGGAGGAACTGTTAAAGATGCAGGTGTGGGCGCTGAGACCCCGTCGCGGGCAACAGGGTTTGTTCCCAAGGAGTGGCCTGAGAGGGGTGTGGCAGAACACCACCTCGATACATTTTGCCCTTTTGATGCACAAACAGGTGGATGAAGCGGATGCCAGAAAAGAAGGGCTAGATCTTGCCAAAGAGGCAAAGAGGCCTCCAACCCCCTGCAGTGACCCAGAGAGAAAAAGGTTTCGTTTGAATTCAGAGTCAGGTTAGTGCCTCCTGCGTAGTTGGTTCATTCAGAGTATTTACTGTGCAGGTATTATGGCCCAAGCAGGGGTATCCAATCTGCGGCCCACAAGCTGCCTGCAGCTCAGGATGGCTAGGAACGTGACCCAACACAAAATCATAAATTTACTTAAAACATATTTTTTTTGTGATTATGTGTCACAATGTATTTATTAATGTGTGGCCCAGAGACACCAAAAGGTTGGACACCCCTGTCCCAAGGCATTGGACGAAGGTGTGAGGCCAGTGAGTCAGGAACCAGGAAGGGTGGACTGATAGCTGTTTCCTTCTGTAGTTTCCTTCATCTGTCAGAGTTGGAGGCAACCTATCTCAAGTGGAGGGAGAAGGGACAGTAAGAACCTGTCCCAACCTTCTTTTTTCTCCACATTCCAGAGTTCAGCGGTGCAACCTCCAGTCCAGACTGCTTCAGCCCCTCAGCAAAGAATGGGATGGCAGCAGTAGTCAGTCCAAAGCAAGCCTCAAAAACAGCTGAGAGCAGCGATGGGGAAGAACAGCAGAGGGACCTAACTGTAAAGATTGGATTAGAGAAGGAGATGAAGGAGAGCTCTGAGGAGGAAGAGAGCTCTGCTAGAACAAGTAAGGTTAGGAAAGAGGAGAGCAGTGAGGAAGAGAATGATGGGGAAAAAGAGTCCAGAGGTAGGACTAGGGAGAAACCTGTGACAAGAGACAGGACCCAGTGGAAGGGTGGCAAAAGGCAAAGTGAAAGCAGTGAGGAGGATGGAAAAGACAGATGGAGGAAGCTGAAACCAGCTACTAAAGGCACTGGAACGTCAGCCAAAGTGGAAAATGGAAAGACAGCCAATGGTGAGGCAAGTGATTCGGAGAGGGAGAATAATGACACTGAGGCAGAGGGGATCCCCAAGGGAGAGAGAAACTGCTCTTATAGGAAGAGCTCCAAGAAAAGCAGGATGCAAGGTTCTTCCTCTTCTTCAAATGGCAGTCCGGATCCCAAAGGTGGGAAGGTGAGGGTGAAGGTGGGGTGGAAGACTATAATTAAGAACAAGCAGGCACCAGGCAAGATTTCAGCCAATAGGAAGCAGGCCATGGAGGAGAATGAGGACAGTGAGGAGGAACCTGCCCAGGGGACAGGAAAAAAAGGTGCTAAAAGCCACCAGGAAAAAGAAAAGGAGTGTGAGGGAGAGGAAACCCTAGCCAAGAAAGAGATCAGAGAGGAAGAGGAGGACTGGAAACCTAGAGCTTCGAGCAATGGGAAAAAGTCAGCTTGGGAGGAGAGGAGTGGTAAGCAGAAAAGCATGACAGCAAGAGTGCTAGGAAACTGGGAGGACAGAGAGGAAGAGAAGGAAAAAGCAGCAGTAGACAGTGGGGATAACAGTTCGGGAGATGAAGAGCCCCTGGTCGGGAGGAAGAACAAGGACAGGACTCAGTGGAAGGGTGGCAAAAGGCAGAGCGAAAGCAGTGAGGAGGATGGGGAAGACATACGGAGGAAATTGAAACTCGCTGCTAGAAGTACTGGAAAGTCAGCCAAAGTAGAAATTGGAAAGACAGCCAATAGTGAGGCAAGTGACTCGGAGAAGGAGGTGAGTGACAGTGAGGCAGCGGGGACTCCCACGGGGGAGAGGAAGAACCGCTGTTACAGGAAGAGCTCCAAGAAATGCAGAACACGAAGCTCTTCCTCCTCTTCTTCCAATGGCAGTCCAGAACCCAAAGGCAGAAAGGTGAGGGTGAAGATGGGGTGGGAGACCACAATTAAGGGAAGAGGGAGACCTGGCCTCAAGCCCAGGTGGTCTCGCCTTCAGCTGTTTTTTCCTTGCCAGGCTGGTCATCGTGGTGAGGACCACCCTTCTGTGATGAGGCTAAAGCGCTACATTCGGGCCTGTGGAGCCCATCGCAACTACAAGAAACTCCTGGGGTCCTGCCGCTCACGCAAGGAGCGCCTGTGTATCCTCCGGGCAGAGCTAGAAGCTCTGGGCATGAAGGGTGAGGCTGGGTATGTTGTGGGCGCTACAGGACAGGGCCTCGGCTGCTGGGGAGGAGAGTATCACAAGCCTCTCTGCCACAGGTAACCCTTCTTTAGAGAAGTGTCGGGCTCTGAAGGAGCAGCGTGAGGAGGCAGCTGAGGTGGCCTCCTTGGACATTACTAACATTATCAGCTGTTCAGGTAAGGGGGCTTCTTCCTACTCCCCAGAAACAGATGGGGCTTGTGCTTTCTCAGACAACTAATCTACTTCCTCCCCCAGGTCGGCCACGCAGACGCACAGCCTGGAACCCTTCAGAGGCAGCCACCCCTCAGCAGCTATACCGCCGGACCCTGGACTCAGATGAAGAGAGGCACCGTCTTTCACGCCCAGACTGGTCACATATGCGTGGCATCATCAGCAGTGATGGCGAGAGTAACTGAGCTCCTTCATCTACCAGAACGGACTTAGACAGTTGTAGAAAGCACACAAATATAACACTCCCCCGCCCCCTGCCTCTGGCCAATCAATCCGCTCAACTGTGTGCCCACACTGAGCAGAAGCACTTTCTTCCAAGATTTGCAACTCCTAGGGACAGAGTTGTTCGGATCCTACTTCTCAGCTTCACGTTGTCAGTTTAAAGTGCAGTTTATTTTTTAAGACTCAATAAAGGCATGTTTGAATTACCTCATCAAAACTAATCCCTACTCTCACCCCTCTGTACTCTGGGCCACGAAGCTGAGAAGTGGCCATTGTCCTCGTGCCTACCCCTAGTCTGGTTCCCTTTAACATCCCTCAGGTTCTTCAAAGAAGTCCCAGCTTTTAGATCCTGCCATCCAGTCTGCCTTCAGGCTCTGCCAGAGGAGTGTGGCTACTATCCTCCATCCTCCATCCTGACCAGCATGCTTCTGATCCTCCTGCCTAGTTGGAAGGAGCATCTGAAAAAACTGGCCTTAAGAATGTGAAGCACAAAATGAAATAACTTGGGGACAGCTGGTGTTTATGTCTTCCTTCCCCCTTATGAAAACAGCCACTTAGTCCATGGGCCAACCCTTTCAGCATTACAGGGTGGGTACAGGACCTATACCTGACCAATGAGAGTACCACCTAGGCCTCTGGCTACAGACGGAGCCTATGAAGTCACTTCAGAACTTTGCTGAGATTCCTGCTGTTGAGGTTGCTGGTGAGATGTAAGCCTGGAGCTATCAGGAGTCTGGGCATGACGTGAATCTTCTAAAAATCTCTGAAGCCAAAGCAAAGGAAAGCCGAGGCCAAAAGGCTGGTGATCCCCTTTGAGGCTCTCGATCCAGGCATGCCCAAAGTCATTAAAAGCACTGAAATTTTTAGTTACACAGCCCAATTATTTTTAAATACAAGTAACACTATCACCTGTCAATGAACACTCCTTAACACACACTTTAGACAGAAAGGGCGAGTCCTGGGTCTGTTAGAATAATCAACAGTTTATTAAAAGCTTGCCGTGGGGCTCTGTGCCAGCCCCATAGCTGGGAGGGGCTCCCATGACTGCCCCCAGACCTGGGAGCAGTCCCTTCCAAGGTCCTTCCCTTGTTCCCCTGCCCCAGCTCTGACTTAATTAAAAAAAAAAAAAAAAAAAAAAAAAAAGACAAGACGGCACAGGACGTCAGACGGCAACAGGGGAATGGAAAGACACAGGCATCCTGACCCCAAGACCCCATCCTGATCCTTCTTCCTAAGAAGGACTTTTCCTCCTGTTCTTCCCACCCCAGATCCCAGATTTGTTCTGCCACATCCCAGGTCTGGGGGGCCTGGAGTCCCCAGTCCATGGCCCCATTGCAGGGGGTAGTATATTTTCTCTGAATATAATTATGTCTAGACCCACCCTTCCCCTCCCCCAGGGGACTAGATGAATATTTGACACACACACACACATCTCCCTCCTTTTCCAAGGCTGTGATGGAGAGAGACCCTGGCACCATGGTGGGGAGGCAGGGACTCCTGGTCAGCTTTGAGGCACCTACACCCAAGCCGACACTGGACCACTGGCCAGCCCAAGAAGCTCATGAGATGAGGAGGTGTGAGGAGAGCTGGAACCAACATCCTGTTCCCCACCCATCGGTGGGCTTCAAGCTTACAGCCATCCAGGACCAGGCTCCACCCACCCCTGCCCTTGCCCCTTCATCTGCTCATCCATCTTGCACTTCAGGAATAGAAGTGGGAGGAACCATTGAGGATATGGGAAGCGACACTGGTACTGCGGCTTAGAGGCCCAGGCACTGCAGCAGCAGGTGGGCCCACATTGTCACTGCCACTGCCTCCTGAGGCTGCGCGTCGCAAGGGCTGGGGGCTGTTTCTTAGCAGCAGCAGGGCTCCACCACGGGGTGTCCCACTTTGTGCTGGGGGCCCCAACCAGTTTGGGGGACCTGGGGGAGCCAGCAAAGAGGGCTGACGCCAGGCTGGGGGGGGCATGCCCGGTGGAGGAGGGCCGTGGCTCCAGTGTGCCCCCGAACGGGGAACAGGGCGGGAAGGCCAGGCAGGGGCAGGGGGTGGAGCGGGATAGCCCTGAGCAGCAGCCTCAGCTGGGATGCCCCCCAGGGCCATACTGGAGAAACCTAGCCTCATGCTCTCTGCATCAAAAGCCTCGATCTCACGGGCCTGCCTCTCAAGCAAACTCCGGATTCGCTCGGAGCGCCCTGTCTGCAGGGCCAGCAGCTCCTCTTCCACCTGGGGCACCAAGAAAAGAGATTAGAGTCCAGTGAGGGTGAGAGGACTGACCTTCCCACCCAGTCCTGGAGATCAAGCCCTCTTACCCGCTGCTCCAGCAGTGCCCGCCTCAGAGCTACTCTCTGCTCCAGTTCTCGCAATTCCCTCTCGTGTTGACTCTCCGTGCGGATCTTGATCTTGCTCTGATAAGCATTGAGCAGTTCCAGTTCCTGTTGCAGCTGCTGCCGAAGGGCCTGGAACTCTGCTTCTTGGGTCTCATCAAGCCGCAGCTAGAGAATAGGAAGAACTAGTTTTAGGGGCCTCCTTCCCCACCCCCACAATCCTCCCCTGCCCCAGGTAGGCCTGGGCCCTAAGGTTTCAAGAAGCAGCCAGTGTCAACATCTACCAAAATAAAAGGTCGTCATACCCTGTGACACAGCAATTACACTTCCAGGAATTTATCCCCAAGGTATACTTGCACATGTGCTCGAAGGTGTTCACTGAAGCGTTGTAATAGCAAAATACTGGAAACAACCTAAATGTCCACCAATAAGGGATGGGTTAAATAAATTATGGTACATCCATACCATGGAAAATTCTATGCTCTTAAAAAATGAGATACGTGTACTGACATGGGAAGATGTCCAAGAAATATTAGGTGGAAAAAAGAGTTAAAGAACAGTATGTAAATTATGATTCCATTTTTGTTTAAAAATTTTATATAACTTTTAAAATATGCATAGGAAAAAAATCTAGTATGTTGAATTATTAACAAGTTACCTCTGAGAGGTAGCAATGGGTGGAAAAAGGGCAATGAATAGCGTTACTTTTTACACCATATGTATATTTTAAGTGGCCCGATCCAGTGTTGTGTGTGATCACTTTTAGAACAGCAACATTCAAAATCCTCCAGAAGTCTGAGAAAATTGGCGTGAGGGCTACAAGCATTTTGATTTGCTCCCTCTTTGCACATTAAACTAACTCAGGCTCAAGAAAATTATAGCCACTCTTTCCTTCGTGGTTCTTGGTAGAGTAGGTAGGCTGGCTTTGTCAAGACCTTAAGAAAATACTCAAGAGAGATAATAAAACGATTGCGGAGAATACTAACAGTGAGAGAGTTCTGAGTTTCCCAGGAACAAAGACCCCTGTCCACCAGCCCCGCCCTTTCACTGCCCATAACTAAGTGGGAAATAGAAGCCAACCTCCACCATGCTCACTCCCTGGACCCCAGGCCTCACCGCCTGTGAGCTGAGCATCTCCGAAATGGACTGGTCGTATTGCTCAGCTAGGATTGCCAGCTTTCGGGTCTGTTCTTCCTTGAGCCGCTTAAGGAGGCTCTTGTGCTGGGCTTTGGGCGTGGTCTCCAGCAAGTGCGCCCGCAGAGCCTTGTACTGCCGAGTCTGGATCTTACACGTCTCCTGGAACTGCTTCTTGATCTGCAGCTCCTTAGACTGTGCAGTGGATGGACCGAGGGGAAACGGGGGCAGGGGAGAGGAAGAAGAAGAGGAAGAGGAAGAGGAAGAGGAGGAGAGAACAATCAGGAGAGAAGGGGAGAAGAGAGAGGAGGAGAGGAGACAGAAACAGAGACAGGGAGAGGGAGAGAAACAGAAAACATGTTAGACAGAGGGGGCGGGGGGAACTGTATACAGACAGACATGGAGAGGTGGGATTGTGTTGAGAGAGATCAGGAAAATTCTCAATGGGCAAGAAATGCAAAGAAAACAAGACAAGTTCCAAGAGCATCTTCAGAATTGGGTGGAAAACTCACAAGAAACAGAAGAGTTCATGGACAGAAAACAGAATTTTTAGAGTACTGAGGCGTACGAGAAGTTTTGACCATGCAAAGAGAAAATACGATCTAGAGATAGGAGCATGTGAGCAGATACAGAATGTGTGTAAGAGGAGTGAGAAAACCAAGTCACACAACACACCCATGGAAGAAAGCAATACAGCTAAAGACAGAGGAAGGCCCAGTTTCAGTACCTCTGGGTAGGCAGGAGGGAAAGAGGATAAGCACCGAGCTGAGAAGTGGGTAAGAGGTGGCCCCATCCTGGGCCATGTTAAGGCAAAGGGGCAAAGGAGGTGGACAGAAAGGGCCTTACAAGTTCAATGGGCCAGCAGTTGTGACTCTGGCCAGATCTCCACATTGCAGCCAGTCCCTTATGCACTCAGCTCCCACTCCAAGCCCACAACCAATTCCATTTTCATGGCCCCCATACTCTCTGCCTGGCCCCCCCAAACTCACCACCCTCTACTGTATAGGGTTTCCAGTCCCATCCCCCAGCCTTCTAGAATTATGCCTGATGCCAGGAGAGAAATTCAGCTCCCAGAAAGAAGGGAATCACACTGGGAACAGGTTGGGAGACGAAGCAGGTGATGAGTACAAAAGGACCTGGAACCTAAGGACTCTCTTAAGGAATCCACAAATGGGAACTGTGGGACCAAGAAGTTACGTCAAAGCTCACAGAGGTCCAGACCCCCAAGCTGGTGGTCGTCATGATGCAACAAAGCTATGACGGCAGAGAGGATGAGGCTGAGGAGTGAGAGGGGTTGAGATATCGTAGATGGAGGCGAAGAGGTCATGGAACTGGGGCTAAGGGTCTGGATTGGGGGCATACCAGGGAGGCTAGGCGGCAGGACAAAGCAGACAGAGGCAGCCTGGGCCAAAGGTACAGTTCCGCTCAGTATTTTATTTGTGTTTGTCTTTTTCTTTTTTTTTTTTTTTTTTTGGTGGGGGAAAGGGGACAGGTTGGAAGGGAGACAGAAAAACAAAATCAAAGAGAGAAAAAAAAAAAAACATGACTTCCCACCCACCACCACCCCTGGCCCCAGGCCTGAGTTGATGAGGGTGAGGATGAGCACACACACAGTGGGAGAACAGCAATAACTTAGGGTGGGGGAGGAGCTTCAGGAGAACACAAAATGTAACTTGTGGGCTCCACAGTGGAGGAGGCTGCCTGTCTAGAGGTCCAAAGGGCTAGGGAGTGGGTGAGGAGGTAGGGAAGTATACTGAGGAAGGATGGGAGACAGGGAGAATTGGGACTGCAGAATCTTCACTGAGTAGTGGGAGATAAAGTGCTCAATGCTCTGGATTTAGGCTGGTGAAGAGTCGGTCACCTCCAGGGAGGCAGGGCCCGGGACTGACGGGTTCGAAATCGCCGACCAGCCAGAGTCCCTGGCGGTGGTTGGTGGGAAGCAGGGGGCCCTAGCCTGCGTTGGCTGCGTGGTAGCAGTCGAGGGATACGGCTGGGCCGTTCACCCCGAAGCAGGCCCCAGCTGGC